AATTAAAAAATGGCAAAAAAAAAGAGAACAGGGTCAACAATGACCTAAAGACCTTCATTTTATCTCCTCTCCCCAATGTCCCACTACGCTCCAATAACCACACCCTGGGAACCAAGCCTTTCCCCAGGGTTTCTGAGGGGGCCACGTGGCATTCAAATGTGAGCTGAGAGCGTCGGCTGTGAGCATGGCCTAATGTGAGCTCTAACGCATTCCGTGTGCTCTGAAAGACTTAAGATGGCCCTCAAGCCCTCAGTGACACACAGGAGCGTGAAAAAGTAGTTATCAAACTGGTCATGGAAAGGTGAGTTGCCTAGGCCCTAAAAACAACCTTCAAACCCCTTGATTCTGTAACTGTTGTTTTCTGCCGTTGCTCTTATTAATGGGCCTAGCACGTGTGACGCAAGGGACTGCCAAAGGGTACCGCAGAGGCTCCTGAGGCCTGCCTGGCAATCAGGACTGCAGGGCAGGAGGGAATGAGGGACGTGGATGTGTGTGGGTGGGGGCGGTGGGTGGGGGGGTGGGAGATGGGGCACGCAGAGCTAGCTGGTGGGAGAGCCATGGCTCTGCTCACACAAACCCTTCTCTTCTTGTTTAGCTTCTGTGCTTTCCAGCCCGGCTTGAAAGGAAAAGTCGGCACAGAGGATCCCTTCAACCTAAGGTAACATCAGGGCAGGGCGCACCCCGGCCCGCTCTGTCTTCATCCTTTCCCACTCTGGAGCCTTGCAGAGGACACCACCATTTGTTGCAAGTTTTTCCCAGTCTGCCTACATCCTTCATCTTCCTCCTGGAGATTCTGCTTTCAATCTGACTTGTACAGAGAGGCCTGGAGTGCCCACCTCCACGGGCTCTGACAGTCTCAGGCCTGAATAGCTGGTATCCCCTGCTGTAGAAGGGTTAGCCCCAGCACAGCCTGAAGCAGGCCCTCAGGAAGGGGTGTGCAGCAGCCATGAGAGTTTCTGGATGTTCAGAAACTAAATCAGTGCTGTCTGAACATGCTTACTCAGGAGATCCAAAACTCTTCAAAATCTGAATCAGGGAGCACCAACAGGATGTCACAAGTAAAAATATCTATGCACTACCTCAGGTGACACATGGGTTACAGTTGGTCAAGCATACGAAAAATATTGTATACAATTGTCTACAGGCTTTGTGTAGAGAGAGGATCTATGCAAAAAGACCATTGAACCTGCAGACGTGGGAGTCGCACTGACTGTCAATATGAATTTCTTGGTGAGAATTACATCCCAGACCCAAGACACCTTATTATATATACACAAATATTCAAAATTCCAAAATATCCCAAATCAAAGCATTTCTAGTTTTAAGCATTTAGGATAAGGGCTACCCAGAGTGAGTGGTGTGTGAATTAGATGGGAATTTAAAAGCCCGTTGTGTGGGTCATCTTGTTGGAGAACGGTATGCTCTCTGGTCCCAAACTTAACACCTCTGTAGGTTGCCAGCTCCCTGGAAGGCCAAGCTAGCATCAGCAGATGTTTTTATTTCTGATGGGAGTGAGGATAGGAGGAAAATGGGACTGGTCTTACTCAGAAGCGTGTCTGGGCAGGACAGGTGCCAGGCCAGGAACGGTACTTAGTAAATTTGTATTCAGTGTGGATGGGTCTGACCAATTTATTCAAAATATTGATAGCTTGTGATGCGTGGTGTCTGGTTCTCAACAAAGGAACAAGTGAAACCACCCCAGACTCTCTTATACTTGCTGGGTTCGTTATATTCTCAAGAGGAGCATACACATCTCAGTTTAGTCTAAGAAACACAAGAAGGCGTGGTGAGGGAAGGCTTAGTAAGAAAACCAAACTTGAATTAAGACTTGGTCAATGACAGACCTATCATGCAGGGAGCCAGGAAGAAATATCCCTGGGGTCGGGGGCAGAAGAACAGCCCCACAGGGAGATTGGCTGGTCTGGCAAAGGCTGCTGCACCAGAATGCAGGGAACTACTGGGCACAGATAGAGGCTTAATGGTGACTTTGTGGTGTCCTGGAGGGATCTTGAGAAGGTAGGGGGCCGAGGGACCTGGATTATCTTGAGAAGAATTATGTCGGCAATTAAGTCAGAAATAGACCATAGTGGGTCAAGGGCAAGAGTTCTGCGTCTGCTGCAGTGACCCAGGGCACCAGTGCTGGTCAGAGCGAGCAGAATGGTGATGTGAATGTTCCGACAGTGGACAGATGATGGGATGGGATGGCAAGTGTGAGGTGTTTGTGAGAGGGTGGACTTGGAGAAGGCAAAAAGGTTCGTTCTGTCCTGCGGGGTTGGAAACGGAGTGGGGACAGTCAGAATGAGCTGCCGTGGGGGCTGAGCTGACTATCAGGAGCTCTGTCTGGATGTGTGAATTTGGAAATGTGTGCCACTCTTCTTCAGGAGGGGACCAGGAGACGTCGTATAGACCATTAGGAATCTGAACTTTCGAGTTTAAGGGGGAGATCCTGACAAGATGTAATTTGAAGTAGTATTTTGAGCCAAGTGAGTGGACAAGGCCAGCAGGTGAATGCATGCATGCTGGAAGCTGTGGCTTGCCGTCAAAGTGGGGACTTCCCCTTGGGCCAGCTCTGTTCTAGGCAGGCTTTAAGAACACGTTGGCATCAATGTTCCCAGTATCTCTCAACAGTCACATAGGAAGTCCACCTCATGCCACGTACCGTAATTTTAGCAAAGCATCCGCAAACTGATTTTCATTTCCTGAACCTAGTTTCCATCTCATCTGAGAACCAAACAGACTATTTCATTGGTCAGTGCAGGGAAGCGTGTTTACTAAGAAGCACTTGGTGATCCCCATCGCTGTCTCTACCCAGCCTTAGGCTAGCGTTCTCAGGATCTTAAAGGGCTCTTCCTCTGCATTACACACCCTCTGCCACAGTTTCTAGTCCAGCTAGAGAGGGGGCCAGGCAGAGAATGGGTGGAAGAGTGTAGACGATGAATCGGCTGTTCCCACCGCACCGGGGAACCCTGACGGCTTCAGAGGGTAAATGACAGTTCTCTGTGGTGGGTCAAATATTTGGGAACTCCTCGCTCATCCATAGGTTGACCTTGTGCACCTCCTTACATGTCTGGAGCAGCTTCTTTTAGGTCGACTCTGTGATGGTTTTTCACTCTGTGGCAAGACCTGCTTGGGTCATGCTGTGTCATGCCTGGCACAGTTCACAGCATAGGCCCAAGAATGGAGACCCTTGTAGAAACCCCTGTCATCCTCTGGGAACAGAGGACACGCTGCTCTAGAGTTTACAACAAAACTCGTTTTTCAATACGATGGTTTTCTGTTCACTTCCTTTATAAATTCTCTTGGAAAGTAATAAAAGATGAGGGATTTAGAATGTGGTTGATAAGAAGCTAGGGAATTCCTGTAAGAGGGTGACCTTCTGCAGTTACAGTGCCAAGGGCACAGTCTTAGCAGCCTGGAGCTCTGCATCAAGTTTCCCTTTCCTACCATGCATCCACCTTCAGCCCCCCCTCCCCAGACACGGGTGTAATGGCCTAGCTCAGGGGCTGGCTATCTGTAACGAGCACGATCACTCTTAACAAAGCTCATTTCTGCTCCCCCCTGAATGGAGCAATATGGTTCTTGGGTTACTTGGTGATCCGAAGCCCCGAGAGGTCCACGATGGAAGATGAAAAACCCATCCCTCTGTGCCCAGGGAACAACAGTTATAACCGGAGGTAGAATAAATGCTGCCACAAACTCAAGATGAGTGTGACAACCAGAACTCCAGCACTCAGATACTTCTTACGCATTCCTGAAGCAGCATGGGATTGGGGACAGATGTGTGAAGGTCTAGGAGTTGTGGGGAGCAGCTTAGTCATTCATCCACCCCAGAGGCTCCCTGTGCCCAGCTAACTTCATGAAGCCTAGAACATAGACACAGAAGCCATAAAATTTTTTTAAGGCAGATTTCTTAGATTCTGCAAGGGTACAATCAACAATGAGTACTTTTAGATGAGTCCAGTGAGCTGCAGGTAACGTGTTCTTTTGCTTGAAATGCCTTAGCTCTGTGGTATGGCTGAAAAATTGCAGCTCAGGGCTTACTTGGTGTGCTAGAGTGACTCTTAAGCCTGTACTGGAGAGGCGCACAAATATCTGCTTGTTACTGGGTTCAGACTAAGTTTTTTAAGTATGGTCTTAAAAATAACTCTAGTTCACAGGAAGTTGCAAAACAGTAGAGTCTCTATATATGCTTCATTTACTCCCTACCCTCCATGGGAGCAAATGGTTTAACCACTGACTTATACAGTTTTTATAACCAGGGCCATTCCATGTATATTTGCAACTGTATGATTTTTGTCATATGTGCAGACCCATGCAAGTGCCACCATAATCCTCGCGAGTAATCATTTCATCGTTATAAAGATAGCTCTCACCCTGCCACTTCACTATCAGACTTACCCTGCAACTACTGGAAATGACTCACTTCCCTTCTCAACTTTCACTTTGTTAGGTAGAGACTGTCCTATAAATATAGTCACATTGTGCAATATTTGGAGACTGGCCCTTCAAAACCTAGACTAATACCACTGAGATCTGTCCAAGTTGTTGCATATTCAAATAGTATGTTTCTTTTTATTACTAGGTAGCACTCTATGCATGTTGTGATACCAGAGTTTGCTCAGCTACTTGTAGACTGAAAGCCATTTGGTTGTTTCCAGGTTGGAGCCACTACAAACAAAATTGACCATTTATATTTAGTGCAATTATCAAAGTGTTAGAACACAAGCTGGCCATTTTAATTTTTGTCTGTGCTTTCCTTGATTATTCCAGTTTTCCTCTTGCTGCCTTTTTGTGTACAACTAAGGGGACAGTTAAAACTCTATTTTAGCTTGTCTATAGCATATTTGAGTACATTTCTCCATATGCACATCTTATACATGTTTTACCTCCTTGATGTATGTAATTATATACATGTAATTTTTGCAAATTACTATCTATTAATGTATGTACATATATAATTTCTTAAGTGTTCTCTTTGCATACATGTAGAAAACCACAAGAAATATCTAGTAAATATATTTTCACAAGCAGGTAGCCTAGAACCAAGGGAAGCAAAGTAAAATTCATAAAGCCATTCAGTAACTTGGGTAGCACCGGAGAGCCTGTCTTCCAGAATGTTCCCTGTGCCACTCTGTCTTCTAATCTGGGACTTTTCCTCTTCAGAGTCGTTTATTTCTGCTAGCTGATTGGTCTTCATGTTTTTGCCATAAGCTATTCTAGGAGGTGGGTGTTGGGCGAAACCTGAGGAATAGAGACACAAGAGACTAAGGCAACTGCTCCAGGCAGCCAGGGCAAAATGCAGGGCACACTGTGATCACACCAGGCTTGCCTGGCTCTCAGAAACAGAGACTACTCTCACTGCAAGCAGCTTTTGTTTTACTTGAGGAAAGAGAAACCCATTGCTTTTTATCAAATATTCCCAGGCTTAATGAAACCTCCCGGGACTAAACATGGCATTGGCATTTCATAGCAGGAACGAACATCAATATTAAGTAAGATGCAGAAGAAGATGGCTGAGTGCTCTGTCTCTCCAGTCTCTGCTCTATCTGGTCCCCAGCATCCCCTAGCTAAAAATGGGTCTAACTGCTGTGTAAAGCCAGACAAATCAAAGCTGTCTCCCTGCTTGGTTTCTCAATTCTGATGAAGTTCAATGTGCTTAAACCCCCTTTTAAGACCCAGGAAAAAGTGCAAGTACAGGGAACACCTCCAATGGGGATAAAAATGAAGTATCATCTTGTACACTAGCCACTCAGTTTTCCAAATTTATCACAAGCTAGGCAGAAGGTGCTGTGGACTGCTGGCTAATCAAGGAAGAGGGGAGTGAGGGAGGGAAGGAAGGAGGGAGGGAATGAAGGAGGGAGGGAGGAGGGAGGGAAGGAGGGAGGGAGGGAGGGAGGAAAGGAAGGAGGGAGGAAGGAAGGAAGGAAGGAAGGAGGAAGGAAGGAAGAAGGAAGGAAGGAAGGAAACACTAGTTTTGGCAGCTGCAGGGAATATCTCTGCCTCAGCTTTCATCCACGGCCATTGAGCCACAAATGGAAGTCCTGGAAGCTTCCCATCTAAAAGGCAGAACTATACACTATTCCTGAGTGACCAGACAAATTCTGCCCCCAGAACTCACAACCTTAAGACCTGGCTAGTGAATTTGTGAATGAATTTATTTGAAGTTTTGCCTAAAACTTGGAAAATAGAAAGTCTAAGTGTTTCCTTTCCCTGTAGCAGGTTTAGAACTTGTAGGGAAGGGGAAACAGTTTGTGCCTGAGTTGCCTTTAATGCAAGCACTTGGGAGGAAGAGGCAGGCAGATTTCTGCTGGAAGACCGGCCAGATAAGAGCAGAAAAAGGCAGTCTAATTAGGAGAGTGCGATCCCTGTTGCTACGGAGAAAGAAACAGTAGCAGAGAGAAGTCAGGGCTGCTGCAGCAGCAGCTGGCACCAAAGGCTATCAGCTCACATATTCTTAACACCTCGGTTTCCAAGATGTTAGAGGTGCAGGGCTGGACTGAAAGATGCTCAGTGCTCCGCTTACTGCCTTTCTTTGGCTATTGGTCTGGTCTGTGTGGTGAATTCCTGGCCAGCCTGGGCTACATAGTGGGGACAGGCAAAGAAGAAGAAAAGAGAAGAGGAAACAAAAGCAGGGAAGTCCATGCATGTGGGCTTAGCTGTGGGCCCCATCAGCAGACCCGATGAGAGCATCTTTCTCCTGAGGGCTGTTTGAGTGACTATCTCCACTCTCAGTAGATATGTTTCCTGCCAGGATCCCTGTGCCAAGGGCCCTGTTGTAGCAGTTCCCATCTCCAGACATGACATCTTTAGATGGGCTTCCAATAAATCATCTGAGATATTAAAGGAAGGGAAAGATGTAAAGAGAAGTAGCCACATCGGGGAGGATGTGGTGAGTGGGTTTGGTGATATATGTTGCTGGCGGGCATAAATGTGCACAGTCCACTTGATGACATGTGTCACAACCAATTTAAAAAGGGCCCTTGAACACACCATTTCCAGTGATGCAGGGCTGCCAGAAAATAATCTAAACCATGTTGCAATGTTTTAGTCATCCAGACACTCATCACAGAACTATTTCCATTAGTGCAAAATTGGAAACAACTTAAATGCCCACAGGATCGTAGTTATGCATATCATGAGAATGGCTGTCTTGCAGATGTTTATAATGTTGGCTCCAAAGAACATGTAGCAACATGGATTTCAAAACAGGGTAGAAAAGAAATAAGTGCTCTAATTTTAGCCACGTGGAAACATACTGCACAGAAAGATAACTAGGAGGAAAGCATTCCACTCAGAGCTGGCTCACTCCACAGAGTGGTGGGCAAGGTAAGCTTCTCTATTTAAAGCTATACTGTGCTTTGGCTATTTTTGTAATGAAAAAATATCTAATAAACAAAAGAAGCAACAATGTGAGTTTTGAGTCTAGATTATTCTGAGATTTTAGAAGTATGATAGGGAGTGTTGCAAGCTAAGCATCATGAAAAGAAAATGAGTCCTGAGGAGCTAGAAGATGAAGGGTGCTGTCTGCTGTGGCTTACAGTGTGAACAAGAAGTGACCCTGTCCCCGCATGGAGGCCCCAGAGCTGTCAACTGGCCACCACTGCATAGCTTGCCACTCACTTAGCCAAGTCAGCGGAAAGGCCTTTGCAGGGTGTCTCCCTCTGCCCTCTACTCTTAGGTCTGTGAAGTGTTGAGTGATAGAGACACTCTAGGCTTGTGAGGGGGTTGTGCATGTGTGTGTGCATGTGTGTGTGTGTGCATGTGTATGTATGTGTGCATGTGTATGTGTGTGTGCATGTGTATGTGTGTGTGCATGTGTATGTGTGTGCATGTGTGTGTGATGTGTATGTGTGTGTGCATGTATATGTGTGTGTGCATGTGTGTTCGTGTGTATGCGTGTGTGCATATGTGTGTGTGTGATGTGTAGGGCTTACCGTTATGTAAGCATTGTTGCTACAATTGCCATTTCTATCTAAAGGACCAGTGTGACTCCTGACTCTGCCTATGACAGTCTTTTGGCTCCGTGGAGGGACCTGAAGTCCACTGAGTATATGTTCCATGCTACCTGGCTCAGAAGCCCACAGGCTCTAGCATTTGTCCCTGACCTCTAAGTTTCTCAGATGAACTCCTTTCAGACTGTCTTTCTTCCAGCTTGTACAATATGAGCCAAGGCTTCTTCCATTGCACACAGTCCCTGCATCTATCATGATGACCCCTCTCATTCCCTAAGGGTCTCAGGGGCACCAGGAATGTTCACAATCTAGGAGTCTGGGAACACTCCTAGAGCAACTGTGCAAATGTAGTTGAAAGTGCTGCCTTTAGCTATTTCCTGGCCAGAAATGTTTAAAGGTAACACCTGTCCATCTCTGGGCCCTTTGCTCTCCTACAAACCCCTCAGAGACTGCTAGCCTCTGAGACCCAGATCCAAAAATTTCCCATGGATTAAGTTCCTTATTTAGAAGCTCACACTGTGCTTCCAAATACCAGTGATAGTAAGAGTGTGTTAGCGACATTAGCTCCCCAGGCCATGGGTGGCACCAGGAGAGTTCAGGACAGAATGAGAGGGACAGATAGATGAGGGTCCTTTCTTGGTTCCCTGGACTGCTTGTAGGAAAGAAATGAAGTGTGCAGAATAGCAAGAGACAAAGCCCTTCAATCAACCAAAGCATAGTCTGAGAGGTCGGGAACGGTGTTTTATGGCTTGGATGAAAGGCATAAGAGCCCTTTTCCTTTGGCTGCAGCTCAACGCCTCCTCCCCCACATTTGCCCCCTCCTGCCTCAGGGTCAGGGTCCCAGGTCACCTCCAGTCTTCCTGGGAATCCTTGGCCATCGAGTTGGGTGAAACCAAATTGGAAAAGATGGCCTTTCTTGGTGTTGTAGGAGCCATGCTTTTGATTTTGTTCAACTTGTCCCTGGCCTGTTGGCATTTTTGCAGGCAAGGTGTACACAGATCCTTCTCCTCTACCAGGTAGAGGTTTTCCAGCCTTTTGATGGAGTCTACAAACATTTCTGACTCATCTGCCTTTGGAAAGGGGTTCCTCTTTATGTTGAGTTTCTTCAACTTGGGGAGCTTGGAGATGCTGGCGGGAATGGTATTCAGCAGGTTGTCGTGGAGTCCGACCTCATGGAGCTCCTTCAATGCCCCCAGGGTGGTGGGCACGCTGTCCAGGTGGTTGAGGCCCAGATTCACCGTGCGGATGTTCTTGAGCTGGTTCAGCTCCACGGGCAGCCCATTCGTGGTCAGCCTGTTGTTACTGACATTGAGATACAGCAGGGAGGTCATCTGCCCGATGGATTCAGGAAGCTTGTCGATGTAGTTGCTGTGCAGGTCGAGCCATCGCAGGTTCTGAAACTTGGAGATGGAGTCTGGGATTTTCCTGATCATATTCCTGCTAAGGTCGAGCTCATCCACCTCATTGAGACGCAGGATACACTTGGGGAAGGTGGTGATCCCCATCTTGCTCAGATCAAGGCGCTTTCTCCCATCAAAGGTGATTTTGATGCAATTCTTGGCCACACTGAGTGTGATCTTTTTGCCCTTGGGGCTTTTTCCACTCTTGACCATGATGTCTTAATATGGGAGTATATTTGAAGAATTTTTCCTGAGTTGATGGTGATGAGTTCGAGGAGGAAGTCACATGAAACTGCTAATGTAGGCTGTGATAAGAACAGAAAAGAAAAATCTAGTTAGCAGAGGACACACAACACACTGTACTATGATCCCTGATGGGGGGAGAGAGGAGAGAGAGAGAGAGAGAGAGAGAGAGAGAGAGAGAGAGAGAGAGAGAGAGAGAGAGAGAGAGAGAGAGAGAGAGAGAAAGAGAGAGAGAACACAGGGTAGCAGAGGGGAATCAGGACAGCAGCCGTAGCATGAGTACCAGAGGTCTTCAACTCTTCTCACCTCTCCAAATGTCATTTTCCCAGATGACAGAGTAGGAGGTGCTGAGGTGGAGATGCTCAGTGTGCTCAGTGTTCCTCTCACTGTCTTATTCTCTGGCTATTTTCCTGGGAACTAGCCTTCTAACTCCAGGACCTCTGTGTGTGTGTGTGTGTGTGTGTGTGTGTGTGTATCTGTCTGTCTGCACACGTGTGTGCATGTGCATGAGTGTGTATGTTTGGCTATATGCTACTTTCCCAGATTGTCAATATACAGTCTCCTTAGCATCCTGGGGAGGCTGCGGAGGGAGGGGCTGCTGCCAGCAGAGGCAATAGAAGCCTGGAAGGGAGGAGATAGTGAACATTAAAGTGACTATCACATCCCTTTCGAATTTGGTACCCAGGAGACCTAGCAGACCTTGGTTACCGTAGCTACAGAGTGATGAGAGCAGCACTGGGCCTGGGAGTCAGGGTTTATCCTCCCAGCAGCACCCAGCATCTCCCAGGTGTGGAGGGTGCTGGCTGGGGCTGCCAAAGCTTCTGGAGAATATTTTTTCATCTCCACTGCTCCACAGCCTCCTCCACACTCCTCACCCTGACAGGCAACTACAGATTGCTCTGCATGAGTAGGCACGGTGACAGGTACGGAGAGCACCACACAGAGCCCTAGAATGTAGAGAGTGACAGAAGATCCTGGCCTCAGCGTGCTTGTCTTAGAAGTCTAGTTCAGCAGTTGGCAATTTTCTTTAAACTCTTTGCCTCAGTCTCCCTATTTGTGAAAACAGCCCCTTTACAGAGTTCATGGGGGATATAGATCATCTAATACTGCAAGCATTCTAATGCTGGTTCCTAAACAGTTACTAAGTACACATGGTGTTTCCACTCTTCAACAGTCTCATGAGACCCAAGCGCTGCTCTTGATGTCCAGAGGGGGAGACGGATGCTCGGGAGTGAGGAAGGCCTATAGTTAGCGGAAGGTTCTACAGAGTCAGCAATGGGGCAACAGAGCCACACATAATCCACAGTATGAACAAAAACTGAAACAAGCCTGTAGCACAATAGCAAAACCATGAAAGGCAACCCCGGAGCTTTATCCTCTCATTAGGAAGGAAGATGGGCTGCAGGGACTGCTCAGGCCTTCAGAGCACTTTCCGTTCCCAGTACCCACCTTGGGCAGCTCACAACCACTTGTAATTCTAGCTCCTGGGAATCCAGTTCCCCCTTCTGGTCTCTGGGGACACTACACTAAGGTGCACATACCCAGATATATACATATGCACGTAATTTAAAATTCAAGTCTATTCTTTTAAAAGAAATTGAATGCCTCCCTGACCCCAGGTGCATGAATAAGACAGGTGTTTGACTATACCTCTCGGTATTATATTGTAAATTCTAGGAAGTGAAATCATGTAAGAAAATAGAGGATATACAGTTAGAAGAATGAAGTAAAGCTATATGCGCAGGTGACCTCCTTGTCCACATAGAGACTACCATGAAATTTCTAGGACATTCTTTAAACTGGTAACTTACAGTCTCTACATGGACAAACCAGAGAGGCATGAAAAGATAAACCAGAGAGTGGTGGAAAGTATTTGTAAGCTACGTAGGCAAAAAGTTCTGAAATCCGGAATAGAGGAAGAAGGTCTATAGTGAAAATAAACATAAAACCAGTAGTCCAAAGATGGAGTGGAGCTGTGCAGACACCTTGTGGAATGCACAGTAGGGCAGCCCCAGAAACCGTCTGGCTATTTCTTAGAAAACTAAGCACATTCTCACCATGTTTCATCCTCCCCAGCAGGTGTTTAGGAAAAGAGAAGCCTATGTCCACAGGAAAGCTTACTCCTGTGCTCATCAGTTCCCAATATAACTGCCCCACAGGGGGAGGTGCATCCTTCAGTAGATGAATCCCTTACACTAGACTACAGCTGAGCATAAGGTGGTTACCTTTATTATCTCTGTCAGTTATGTTTGTGTGTGCACTGAAATGTCATATCATATCCTATAAATATGCACAGTTATGATGTATCAGTGAAAAATAAAAATGCATTTCAAATATTTGTAAAGAAATGTTTGTAAAAGGAACATATTCGCTCAGATGTACAATAACCTAAGTGACTCCTAAGAGCATACTGCTGGCCGGAAGAAGCCATTGGAATGGTCTATGTGATGAATGAGTCCATTTCTGTAGCTGCAGGAAACTGATCCTCCAGGGCAGGGACTATGGGCTGGGGACACTAGGTTACCAGGAAGTAGTGTGGGTGAGTTTTCTGGGGCTGGTGTAGTTGTATGGACCCTGCTTTGGGGACAGTTTCATGAGTCTATATATATTTAAAGCTCAGAAGCTTGCATCCGCAAAGGGGAGATGCCATTGTAGCTACATTTTAAACTTAAAAACTAATTGGAACTCCATGGTCAAACTCAGTGGCTTTCTCTCTGTGTCTGCTTGTTCAGACTAGATTGGACCTATACAACAGTGTGTGTGTGTATGTGTGTGTGTGTGTGTATGTATGTGTGGGGTATGTGTGAGGTATGTGTGGTGTGTAGTATGTGGTGTTGTGTGTGTGTATGTGCGGTGTGTATGTGTGTGGTATGTATGTGTGTGTGGTGTGGTATGTGCGTGTGATGTGTATGTGTGTATGTGTATGTGTGTATGGTATGTGTGGCATCCATGTCGTGTGGGGTGTGTGTGTGTGTGTGTGTGTATTCTGTCCCTTAAAGAGCAGGCAGATGAGCAGCCTCTGGACTTTGCTGTGAACACAGGCAAGTGGTGTTCACGGAGGCATGTCAGAGAAACTGTTCTGCACTTGAATTCACCAAAAAGATGAACTCAGCCCAGGAAAGCCTATATACTCATGATCTTCTGTTTATCAGTGCCTCTTCATGGTACAGTGCCCAGACATAGCAAATAAAATGAAAAGTCACCGGTGAAATTTGAGTTTCACATAAACAAGAGATGGTGTTAATTCGAACTTCTCAAATCCTGTGTAGGCCTGTATTTTCCTTGGCAGCCATAGCCTGGGACCTGAACAAGTAGTAAATAAAATTGCCTTTGTCTGAGGCCCTCTTAGTCCTTTGGGACTGACTTAAACCAATCCTTTTGCTTGTTCTTTCACTGAGTGTACTGGGGCCTGCCTGGTGTCAAGCCCCTGAATGACACATGTTGTAAACGAGCTTGCACCCTAGTTTAAAAAGCTAACATCTGGACCGTCACTAATTCTGGCCACCAGACTGCCCTGCATAGTCAAAAGTTGGCTGTCATTTGCTTTTCTTCTATTTAAGAGAAAATGAAGGGTGAGTTAGAGGCTCCTGGACAAGACAGGATGCTTCCAGCAGTTCGGAATTCAGCCAGACCAGCTGAACCTGCCCCAACAGCCCACCCATGCTGTGGGAAGAAGCCCTCCCAGGTCTCATAGTGGGGGCAAGGGAGCCATGAGGGACTGCCTATAGAACGCTGTTCCATTAAGGAGCCTCTCTCCAATGGGCCCTTTGGCTCTGAGCCTGCCCATTAATCAGCGTAAGGCAGAGTAGGGGGCTGACTGGCCTAATGCACGTTGCCACCTCCCTAGTGAGTCTGGATCCCCAGACAGATCAAGCCAGGTGGGAACATGAGGAGCCCCACCCCTTCCTTAATGCTTTCCTCAAGGACACTGTTTGCTGGCTGGGGTCATCAGTTATAGACGGTCCAGTATGCTGTGCTGACCAGAGACCCTTCTGATCCCTGAAGCTGCTTAGCACCACTGGAATCAGGTCATGCCGTAAGAACTGTTTCACAAGCAGAGAAATCAAGGACCTCTTGTCTGTCACTCTTCTGTTAAGACCAGACCCACCTACCCATGGAACAATGACAATAGAAGGATAAAACAGATGACCTTTCTACACAGTCAAAACATTAAATAGATTGTTCTTAGCAGTTTGTGGAAATCTTCAAACACAGCGTGGCCAAGCCACACAAGGAATAATAAGTACAACAGATAGATGCATGGGCTATGGATGAGGGGATCTATGAATGGAGGGAGTCTTGTTGCACATGCTCAGACTAGAAAACCCAGTAAAGAGGGTTCCAAGTAAGTCCTGTTTTTTTTGTCCTCTACAGTTGTGTTTTATACTTGGGGAGGGGGACGGGGAAATGAGCTAGTTGGTCTGATTTTAATTTCTGAATAATTTTTCTATCTAGTCATTGTGAATGAAACAGCATGGAAGGACACCCCATGGATATCTAAATTAAAAATGTAATGGCAACCTATATTTTCATAGCATCAAGACATTTGCAGTCATCTTCAGCTCTAAGACCCTTACGACAATCACAATGCTCGCATGAGTCTGATTTTACACTCATGTCTCTGGATTCATTTTTAGGTAACACTGGCTGTTTTTACAGGGCTACTACACCTGAATAACTTCCTAGCATAGTATCACAATAATTACTTCATTGTTTGACTGATATATTAGTTGTAACATAGACACATAATTGAACCACTGTTTCTTAGCCAGTGCTTGGGGGAAACTTCATGTCACAAGGATGAGAAATACCCTTTGCTTATGGGCTGTCTCTTAGGCAATGATGAGAACTTCCCTGAGAAATCCATTAATCCCCAAGTGCAGCTGGTTCTCAACGTGGCATAATGTTATACCCTGATAATCCCCTCCTCGCTTGTAAGAGAACAATGCATTGGCTCTACCCAATCTCCCAAAGAGCCCAACTTAGCCATATAACACCTGTAGAGTGCTGGTGGCAGCTGCCCGCCATTTGGGGGCGGGGATTCGTACGTCAAATTGCTAGA